AGAAGAGAACCAGACAGAGAGATGAGAGACACCAGACAGATGAGAGAGAGACAAGACATAGGAGAGAGAGAGAGAAGACGTCAACAGAGAGAGAGAGACCATGTTAACGTAGGAAGAGTAGACAGAAGACAGAAGAGACATGAGTAGACACGAGAGGAGACATTTAAGTGGTTTTTAGTAATCTTAGAGAGAGACAAGAGACAAAGAGAAAGAAAAGAGGGACAAAGAGAGAGAGAGACCAGAGAGAGAGAGACTATGAACGAGAGAGAGACAAAGAGAAGAGAGAGGACATGAAGCATGAGAGAGCAGGAATGAGAGACAAGAGAGAGAGAGAGAACAGTAGAGAGGAGAGACAGAGGAGAGAGACAGAAGAGAGACAGAGAGAAGAGACAGTAGAAGAGAGAAAACAGAGAGAGAGACATAAAGAGAAGACCGAGACATGAGAATCAGGAGATAGAGAGACAGAGAGAGAGCACAGTGAGAAGAGGAGAGAGAGTAGCCTCAGGACAGAAGACACAGAAGACGATGAAAGAGAGAGACAGAGACAGAGACAAGGACAGAGACAGAGATCAGGAGAATGAGGACAGAGACATGAGGACAAGAGACAGAGAACAGAGATCGAGACAGAGACAGAGACAAAGAGACAAGAGATCAGAGACAGTAGGACAGAGTACAGTACGACGAAGAGAGCAGAGACAGAGACATTTGAGACAGAGACAAGAGACCAGGACAGAGACAAATCAGAGAACAGAATGAGAGAGAAGACAGAACAGAGACAGAGAGAGAAGAATGAGAACAGGAATGTACAGATGACAGAGAGAGAGAAGAGAGAGATGAGAGAATATGGAGTGGGAGATATATCGAGATATTAGATGATATATAGATAATACATGAGACTATAGCAAATAATAGAAAGAGATATAGGAGATGATATAGAGAGATTATAGAGGGATGATAGAGAGATTTAATAGAGATAAGCATAGAGAAATAATAATAGAGATAGTATAGAGAGATATTTGAGAGGAGAATGAATATAGCAGAGAAAGATTATAGATAATAGAATATATATAGGAGATAGTATATAATGGAGAGTATATATTAGGGAGATATATTAGGGGGATAATACAGAAGAAGATATGTAGAAAGATATAAGGTATATAAGATATTATAGACGCATGATATATAAGATATTACTATATAGCGGAGATTACTATAAGGGAATGATTATATTACACACACTGAGATAGTAATGATGAATGATAGGATATAGTAAGGGAGATCATAAGTTAGAGGATATATAGATAGATAATATGATAGATGATATTATAGTATAAAGATATAATACTGACATATATAGATAGAGAAATATATTAGAATAGATAATATAAGAGTATTTATAGAGATAATATAGAAAGAAGATATTAGTCCCGAGAGATATATAGATATATACTAGAGATTATATATTAGAGTATATATATAAGAGAAATCATATAAGAGACACAGGAGATATTATAGGAGCTATATAAGAGAGCATATAAGGCCGAGAAGACTATATAGAGATAGCAGCATACTACGACGATACGAGATATAGAGATAGACAGACTAGATACTAGCAGATATAGTATATAGAAGAAGAACGATAGAGATAGAGCAGATAAGATATTAGATGAGATGGATATCGAGAAGCTATATAAGAAGAGAGATAAGAGATATAATATATACATTATGAGAGAGATATATAGAGAGATAGATACTAGAGAGTGAGATAAGTATGAGGAACGAGATATAATATAGAGAGATATAGAGAGGAAGAGATATATTAGAATTATAGAGAAGAGATAGAGAATATAAGAGATATATAGATATAGATATAGTATAAGAAATATAGATTATTTATATAGATATAATGTACTAGTAGATATACTATTATATCTATATTGTTTTATCAATTTTATCTAACCATATAACCCATATATGCATATTTATAGACAGTATATTGAAACGAATAAACTTCTTTACCAAAGCCAAATTAAGGGAGATTATCGCACCCGCAAGAAAATGAAATTATTTTTTATTTGTCTTCTCCTCGCAGCTTTAGGGCAGGGAAGAGATTTAGAGTAGTTATTAATAGGCTAAATTTAAGATTCCTACTTTTATTTTTAGCGGACTTTGATGCCCATTACCATAGAAGAGGGCTAGAGTTACGAAACACAGCTAGCGAACAGCACCATTCTCAGCGAAATCAAGAAGCATGTTTATGCTGAAGTCTATGTCTATTGTAACTTGATAGACATGACCGGATCTCCGACCGCGCATCTTAACGGCAGCGTCTTGTCCTTGCGGAATCTGCTGCCCATACACGGGGGGATATGGACAGTGTTCGCCGCAGGTTAGTTCTTTTAAAAAGGTGTGACAACGTTAGTAGCCTTGCATACAATGAACATTGCAATATACTCCTACCGATAATACCCTTATGGGACTGTTGTGCACATTCCATGCAACAGTTCGGACATGTCAGAATATTCGTCTTACAAACATTAAGCCCTCATACGAATTGATACGAAAACGGAACATAAAGTAAGCGGATCCTACGAATTCGTGTTGGATAAAAAAACTACGGGTCTTTACGAATGTATAATACGCAACGCATTTGACCGAGTCTTTATCTACCGTCAATACCACGTCGAGGGGATTGATCTGGACAAGGTAAATTTCGTCACTGATGCTTCGTCTTATATTAATCATAATAAACAGCAGTTTGCGAAGGAGCCCGAGGTGATTGAAGTCTACTCATAGGGGACTAGCTACTTGGGCTGTTGTGATGATAATCCACTTCTCTATTCTTTATCAAAGGACTATCCGAATGGCAAGATTGTGGTCCAAAAAGATGGCTATCATGCCGAAGACATTCCTTCTTCGAAAGGTAAAGGGACATTTTTTTCCTCGATAAAACCCGGCCAATCGGGTGTATACAGCTTCTCGTTCAAGTACGGGACCGGCGCGAGCGAAAAGGTTTTACTGAAACTTATTCAACTGAAAGTATTGGACAGCGCCCCAACCACTGTGTCAAAATACGTGAACGAAGAGCTCACTTTCAAATGTCATTCACAAATACTGTCTTCTAATTTCCCAGAATATTACCTAAGATATCGGTGGATGTTTAGGGACATGTAGATGCCATAGTATGACGGATAGGAAAATGTAGATGTAAGGGTTACGGAAAAGACTGCAGGGAAGTGGGAGTGCTTCGCCGACATCGTGGAAACCGGCGCTACCTTCTCCGTCCTTGAGAGGGCTATCGCTGTACAGAAGTAAATTCCTGTTTTGAAAGTTATAGAAGAGAAGTGTTTTTTAGCAACGTCGTATTGGCTTCACATTTTACTGCTTGTGATATCCTTTCTGCTCCTTTGCGTTGGCTTCGGTCTCATCTTTTTTACCTATACTTTCGTAATGAAACTAAGGAAAATGGAGCTAAGTTCTCCGCAGGGGCCTGTCCCCGCTCAGCTCAGCCGAGCACTGCTCACTGTCCCCACTGAACAGGGCAACTCTGAACAGGGCATTGTCCCCACTGGTGAACAGGGCACTGTCACATGTGGTGACAGGGCACTGTCTCACTGGTGAGCAGGGGTCCCCACTGTGAACAGGGCACTGTCCCACTGGTGACAGGGCACTGTCCCCACCACTGCTGAACAGGGCACTGTCCCCACTGGTGAACAGGGCACTGTCCCCACTGGTGAACAGGGCACTGTCCCCACTGGTGAACAGGGCACTGTCCCCCCACTGTGAACAGGGCACTGTCCCACTGGTGAACAGGGCACTGTCCCACAGGGCACTGTCCCCACTGGTGAACAGGGCACTGTCCCCACTGGTGAACAGGGCACTGCGCCCAGTCGACAGGGCATGCGAGGGCAGCGCCGGATGAGAAGGCCTGGCCGTAGAGGGATGCGGCGGCCCTCATCAAGGGGATCAAGGTGATCACAATGATCAGCCTAAATGGCCGGAACTGTAACGAAGTTCATGGGCCTTTACGCGAGTTTTACAGTCCCTTTCTTACCCGAAATTATAGCGGGAAGACTCAGCAGGGCAGCGCCCCACTCAGGAGGGCACAGCCACAAAAATAATATAAATGTGATAGTAATTACTAAAAAAGTGTATGTGTGTGTTTTGCGTGTGTGTGTGTTTGTGTGCGGTGTGTGCGTGTTTGTGTGTGTGTTGTGTGTGTGTGTGTGTGTGTGTGTGTGTGTTGTGTGTTGTTTGTGTGTGTATGTATGTTGTGTGAATATATAAATAATCTCAATTCGGATTTTCTCATTTGTATTTAGTCTTTCACTTTCTCCCTCTCTTTTCTTCTCTCATCTCTCTTTCTTCTCTCTCTTCTCTCTCCTCTCCTCTCCCTCCCTCTTCCTCCCTACACCTCTCCTCCCTCCCTCCCTCCCTCTCCCTCCTCCCTCTCCCTCTCCCTCTCCCTCTCCCTCTCTCCTCTTCCCTTCTCCCTCTCTCCCTCTCCCTCTCCTCCTCTCCCTCGCCTCCTACTTCTCCTCTCCTCTCCCTCCCTCTCTCTCTCTCTCTTCTCTCTTCTCGTCTCTCCTCTCTCTCTCTCTCTCTTCATTCTCATCTCTCTCTCTCTCCTGCTCTCTCTCTCTCTTCTCTCTGTGTGTGGTGTGGTGGGTGTCGTGTGTGTCTGTGTGGTGTGTCTCTGTCTGTCTGTCTGTCTGTCTGTCTGTCTGTCTGTCTCTCTCTCTCTCTCTCTCTCTCTCTCTGTCTCTCTCTCTCTCTCTCTCTCTCTCTCTCTCTCTCTCTCTCTCTCTCTCTCTCTCTCTCTCTCTCTCTCTCTCATTCTCTCTCTCTCTCTGCTCTCATCTCTCTCTCCTGTGTCTCCTGTGTGTGTGTGTGTGTGTCTCTGTCTGTTTCTCTCTCTCTCTCGGAGCTCTCGATCTCTCTGCTCTCTCTCTCTCTCTCTCTCTCTCTCTCTGTGTGTGTGTGAGTGTGGTGTGTGTGTGTGTGTGTGTGGTGTGTGTGTGTGTGTGTGTGTGAGTGTGTGTTGTGTGTGGTCTGTCTGTATTCTGCTGCTCTCTCCATCTCTCTCTCTCCTGTCTACATCTGCATCTCGTCCTCCTCTTCTCATCTCTCTCATCATCTCTCATCCTTTCTCTCTCTCCTCTCTCTCTATATCTCCAATCGCTCTCTCTCTCTCGGGTTCTCTGCTCTGTGTGTGTGTGGTGTGTTGTGTGTATGTGTGTGTGTGTAGTGTGTGTGTGTGTGTGTGTGTGTGTGTGTGGTGTGTGTGTGTGTGTGTGTGTGTGTGTGTTGTGTGTGTGTGTGTGTGTGTGTGTGTGTGTGTGTGTGTGTGTGTGTGTGGTTGTGTATGCACATGAGTGCCTCGCGTCTGTGCTTCCTAATCAACTATACACATATTCTTAATGCAACTCTGACGACTGTTATTTGTTTACTCTCACTATGAAAGATTATCAACGACAATTCTCCTCATTAACCATTATCAACCATTGACTCGTCCTGTCCACCTCCATTATATATATATATAATATATATATATATAGATATATATATATATATATATATATATATATATATATATATATATATAAGTATGATTTCTAAGGGCAAAAGTAATGGGGGTTACATCTGGATAATTTCAATAACCTTTATTGTAAATTTATTGGTACAAACTACATGCAAATTAGTTGCGTGGTTTGGTGGGATGCATAAACTATAGGGAATGAAAACAGATGAAAACAGACGATATATAAGTTAGTACGATAACCGAGGTAACAAATAAATAAACATTGTTAACAAAGCAGGGTATGGAAAGGTAGGGAACAGTGCAGCATGAAGATAAAGAGAATGTTTAGAGCCAAAACAGAGAATTACATTCGTTTTCTTTAAATAATTCCATCAAATAGAAAGAAAAAAAAAAAGACGGACAGAATGTGCGCTCAGACAGTCTCAAAAATCAGCTGATGAGGGAGTCCCCTTTTGCACAATCCTGGAACAGCTCTTGCGGGGTTCACACAGACTCCCTGAACGCACTCCCTCCTCCTCCCCCCCTTTTGTCCCACTCTTTCAAGTTTCTTCTCCACCACTCTCTCTCCTTCTCACTCTCCCTGCCTCCCGCTGCGCCCTCTCTCGCGCATCCTTCTTCTCCTCCTTTCTTCGTTTTCCCTTAGGCCTTCTTGGATTCCTCCTCCTTCTCGTCTTCGTCGAGGGCCTTCAAGCAGATGTGCCTGCGCGCGCAAATGCTGGGGCAGCACTTCTGGTCCTGGGCGCAGTACCCATCGGAGGCGCAGCTGGGCCTCCTCCTTGGCGCTGCCGGCCAACAGCTGGGATGGCGCCGCTCGTCTTGGCCTGAGGGGGGAGGGGGACAGGGTAGGGGGGGGAGGGGGAAGGGGGTATGGGCATTAAGAAATAAGAATAGTTGGGTTGCCTATTGATTTTTTTTCTATCGATTTTATATATCTGTCTATGCATATGCTTGCAAATTATTTCCTATTATTACATATTACATTATTTCCTCTTCCTAGGATATATACATTTTTTTCGAGATATAGTGTGACGTGGTACGGGATTTCACACTACTTTGTGTACATACATACTTGTGCAAATAATTCACCGATTCGTTTCCCTTTCTCTCTACTACTAACTACTACTCTCTCTCTCACTCTATCTCTCTCTCATCTCTCTCTCTCTCTCTCTCTCTCTCTCTCTCTTCTCTCTCTCTCTCTCTCTCTCTCCTCTCTCTCTCTCTCTCTCTCTCTCTCTCTCTCTCTCTCTCTCTCTATCTATCTATCTATCTCACCTGAGCCTTTGAGAGGAAGAAGATTCCAGATGACTTGCACACTTGATCAGCTTCGTCAGGGCATTTTCCTTCGTGGTCATCATGGCTCTCGGGAACTATAGAAAAAAAATCATATTTCAGTAGTCAATATTCTGCAAAAATGGTGGATTATATTTTCAAATCATTACGTGGTTGTATTCTTCATTTTGTGATCAACGATTTTTTTATATTCATGTTATTACTTTTTTTAAGGTTTAGGTATGTACATATATACAAATATACATCCAATGTTTTTTCCTTTATCCGTCCAACATACATTATATCCAGAACGCCTCTCCCGTCAGTGTCTTATCAACTGTCATGTCAGTGTCATATCAACTGTCATGTCATGATTATGGTGATGATAATGTAATGGATAGCACCTTTTGTCAAAACATGTCATGCAAGTCTTCTCCTTAAGTGCAGATTCATGTCGACGGACATGTTATTAACGGGGTTATCTTGTCGGATAGCCAGTCTCCTCGCGCCACGTGGCAGTCGCTCATTGGCCGAGCTCTGCGGCTCAGCCAATCAGCGACCAGCACGTGGCGTATGGAGGAAGAAGGCCCGGTGATCCATACACCTGTTTTAAAATCGTGTCAATTCAGAAGTCGTTGCATGCACTCAGAGAGAAAGGAACCCGCAGTCCAGAGAGAAGGAGGAAAACAAAAGACGAAGAGAAGAGAGAAACGAGAAACGAAATGGAGAAAATTAATACAGTACTTACTGGTCCAAGCGTGTCTCGTCGTGCATGAGGTAAGGATGGCAAGGCAAGGGACTGTCAGGGTAGGAGAGGGAGAGTCCGGAAGGGGAAGGAAGAGGGTGCAGGAGGGAAGGATGCTTAGGAAGAAGAGGAAGAAGGAAGAGATGATGAGGAAGACGAAACTGGCGATGAGGAAGAGGAAGACGATGGCGATGATGATGAGGTGGATGGTGATTTTAATTTTGAAAAGAGTGATGATGATTTTGAAGAGGGTGATGATGGTGATGATGATTTGAGGGGTTGAGATGGTGATGATGATAATGATGATGATGATGATTTCGATAGTGGAGATGACGATGATGATGGCTGAGGTGGTGATGGTGTTGATTTAGATGTGTGAGATGACGAAGGTGATAGTGATGATGTAGATACTACAATAAACGTGGGTGATGGAGGTAATGACGATGATGTTGTTGTAGGTAATGATGGTGTTGTGGATAATGAAACTGGAGACGATGACGCTGTCGACTTTTGTAAAGTAGATAGAGATGGCTGCAGAGCTCGTGATGGTGATGGCGGTCGCGTAAAATCTGTCCTTACACGTGTTTGAGTGGATGGTGATGACGGCAGCGAAGGTGACTTTGAACGAGTCTGATGCTGTGATTGGGGTGATGACGATGAACTCACAGACGACGACACCGAATAGGATTTTACTATTGCAGATGACGAAGATGGCGCTGTTGGTGGTGAGGGAGATGGTGATGGGGAAGATGAGGAGGAGGAGGAGGAAGGTGATGAAGAAGAAGGATGACGAAGACGGAGGATGATGAGGAAGGTGATGAAGAAAACGATGAGGAAGGTGATGAAGAAGACGATGAGGATGACGAGGATGCTGAAGAGGCTGACCGCGGAGGCAGAGATAATACCGGCGACCTTATCTCTTGTAATGCCGCCGACGATAAGGTTTGAAACGACGAGGGCGGGGGTGGAGTAGTGGCCGGAGTGTTGGGAGTGTTGGCGACGGCAGCGCTGGAGTCCTCGGTGACGGGTGCGGGAACTGAGCTCGGGGCAGAAGGGCGCTGGTTGGCGATGGCGATGTTGGAGTAGTCGGAGGTGACGAGGGAGTCCGCTGTTTGGCGCGCGACGGAGGACAAGAGCTGCGCGATGGACAGCTTGTTCCTCGGGGCCTTCGAGTGGGAGTTCAAGGCGTAGTTGCGCGCCAGGTCCTCGAGCAGAACGGAGGAATACGACTGCTGCGGCGATGGGTAGCGGCCGAAGGCACTCCCGGACGAGCTGATCGGAGTGCCAGGGCGATGCTGTCTTCGTGGCGGCGCGGTCTTGGGAGGAGGCGGAGTCGTCGTTGCCTGGAACGTCTTCGGCTTCGGGGCTTCGGGCAGGATCTGGATCACGGGCTTCTCGTGGAAGTACTGCGGCGCCGTGATCTGGTGGAAGGAGTCCAAGGGCAGCGGCTGGATGGAAAACAGCTGAGCGTCTTTTTGCTGAGGAGGAGCTCGCGGCACTGATTGCTCCGACTTGATCTGCGGGCGAGGATACGAGCTGGAGTGCGGGGGAGCCTTTGGCGGGGCTGTCTGCGGTGTCTTGGCTGGTGGATGACGAAAGGCGTTGGACCCTGGATGTGAACGGATGCCAATCGCCTGAGAGGGGCTGGATTCGAGGCTGTAGGATATAGGGTACTGAGGCGTGTGTGAGTGTGTGTATGGTGAGGGCTGCGACTCCCTCTTCGCAACAAAGGACGGAAGGCCGTGGCTTACATAGGGGGATAATCCATGTCCTGGATGCACCAACGCTGCACCGCCCCTGAAGTCAAGCAGATGGTGCGGGCCTAAGGTTTCAAAATTGCTTGGAGACTCGACCGAATTCGAGCGTAGTTCTTGTGATGTCAACTCTTTTGAACCTTCTTCATTAGATGTAATTTCAAGAGTGAATGCATCTGTCTCGAAGGAAACTGGCCCCGTAATAGAGAACGCCTGCGGTCTTAATGCAGTCGGGGTAATTGGCACGCTTGGGAAATGTGCAGGAGCTGGCCGTTGACTGGGTGGAGCTGTGTGTCGAAAACTTGCAGCTCGTTCATGTGATGGTGCCTTGTGCTGGTAAACTGGTGCTGGTGCGTGAGACGGGGTTGGGTGCTTGTACACTGGTGCTGGCTGATAAGATGCTTCCACTTGTTTATAAGCTGGTGCTGGTGGATGTGCGGGCTCTCTGTGCTTGTAGACCGGAGCTGGTTGCTGTGTCGGTTGAGGTTGCCCGATGGCTCCTGAATACGGATGGACTGACAGTCCTGTTGGATGGACTTCTTGGTGATGCCGAGGTGGATGAATATTCGTGTGTGGCCCATTTCCAGGAGGATGGAATATTGGCTTACTCAAGGAGGGCAAACGATTGGACAGGGATGGCGAGGAGAGGGAGTCCAGCGGCAAAAACACATACGGTTCCATAGGCTTGGG